ATTGAATAATAGTAATTAAACACTAGTATCACTGAGTAAAATAATACCGTTCTTTCTTTTTCATTATACCTTTACAATAACCCATTTAAATTCGTTATAGTTTTAACAAATATTTATAAAAACATTTTGTTTGAGTTTGAAGTTTTTGTTGTTTGTTTATTGTTTTTGTGGGAAACAGTTCTATAAGTTTATATCATCTTTAAAAAAATTATTATAAAGTTCTTTATTTAAATATTCTTTTTCTCTTTTCAAAATTAACACTTAAATAAAGAATTATCTATTTTTGCATAAAACAATTTTAAAGTTTATTTTGTTAAAAAAACTAAATAATCTATTTTTATTTCAATCGAAAAAATGAATTTTATAAAGTTCTTCACTAAAAGATTTTTCTATATCACTACTTCCTTTCTAAAGAAGAAAAATAGGAATGATGTTTATTAGTTTTTTTATGAATAAAAATACAAAAAGAGATATCTAATTTGAAGAAGTTTTACAGAAAAACCAAGAAAGTGTTGAAGCAGTACAGAATCAATAAAGAGAAACCAAGAAAGAATAAAACAGTGAATAACTAAACAAAAAAATAAAGAGATGAAATCAAAGTTATGAACTTTCATATGGTAATTAATTTTTTATTCATATTTTAAAAGATTGCTTACTGTTTTTGTTTAAAAAATAAGTAATGTTGTTATAAAAACTAGAAAATAAATGATGTTTGCATTTGAAATAATTAGAAACAATAAATGAACATAGAAATTCGAAGAAATCAAAAAAGTTTAAATGTATTTAAAATATAGTAAAATAACAAATAAATAACAAAATATATAGAACCGATGAAAGATTACCGTTATAATAATCAAATAACGAAAATGTTTGAAAAAAATAGAAAAAGAAAGGATATTATAAAGTATAAAGAAAACAATTTTAAGTTGTAATAATAATAAAATTAAAAGGAATTAACTGTGTGTTAACAAAATTGGACTCTATTTTTCTAGGTTCAGAGGAGATTAATCATATCTATTTGTCATTGTTTAAGAACTCTACGAAGTATTAAATTCAATCAAACAATTTTAAGAATAAAAATACAAAAAATTAAAAAAAAAAATTATGTAGTATTTCTAGAACTTTATAAGCATCATTTCAATGCTTAAACCAATGGCTGAAACAAGGAAACCTGAAAAAGTTATTGGAATTGACTGGGGAGACCAATTAGTTAAAGTTACAGTTAGTAATAAAACTACAGAAAATATTATAAATATGTATTTTGGAGATTTAGTAACTGATCAACCACCAAATGCAATAACACTTAGTAAAGGTATAAAATATCCACTTTATATTTCAACAGTTTGTTAAATTACTTTTAATTAACTGATATAATAATCAATAGACAAACTCTGATACAATTTATAATTTTGTTTATTTATCTTATTCATATGATGCTGATAAATTTAATGGTTGTAAGAACTTTGTTGTTAGTCCTTTATTTAGTGATGAACAAATCGATTTTAAAGAATATGGAAAAATTTCTCGTCAAAGTTTCTTTTATATTATTCTTGAGTTCATTAAAAACCAAACAAATTGTGAAATTGCTTACATCTCTATTAAAAATTATCATAACGATAAATTTAGAAAAGACTTAGTTAGTGCTGCTCAAAAACTTCATATTATTTGTTTTTTAATTCCTTGTTGTACTGGTTCTATAGTTAGTTATGTTAATAGTCATTATGATGATTCAGTATGTACAAGAGCAATTCTAGATGTAGGATATTATCATACGAGTATTGTAATCTTTAATTCTCATTTATATACTGCAGAAATTATTTCAAAAAAATATAAAAATATTGGTGGTTATCATTTTACTCAAAAAGTAAAAGACTACATTATCTTTAAAGCAAGTGAACAAGGTGTTTCTGAAAATCAAATTACTCCTTCTTGTTAAAAGAAAAAA